AAAGAACCATTGCAGCAAGGCTCACAGCCAGAGGCAAAGAAGAAGGCCACAAAGGCAGCAGCACCAAATAATGCTCACGGCCAAGGCAACAGAAAGAAAACCACCATAGGTATTGCTTTTACATCGCCTTTGATATACATAAGAGAGTGAATGAACAAGCTACCATAAACTATCCAAACCGAAGCCATTTTCATCAAGACATAGTAATGAATTGATCAGCTTATTTCAAACATTCCCATATAGAAGTGTATATTGAAATCATAAATTTTGGGATGACAAACGTGATTACCCATAAAAATCTCAAAAGGAACGTCATATCAGGAATTTTCAACCCAACCGAACCAATTAAAAGGGCAAGACAGGAAACCGTAGCTAGTAAACTCGAGCTCAGCGCAAAAGGCAAACAAGTCCAGCACAGGAGTGAAACCGAGCCCATCAAAGGGCTAAAACAACAAGAGATTTCAGTCAGGACATGATACCAAAAAGGAGCTAAACCGAGCCCATCAAAGGGCCAAACCCAATCCCGGTCTATGGGCAAACCAAGCTCAATGAATGGTCCAAACAATAAGAGGTTTCAGCCAACGTACAATCACCAAAAAGGATCCCAAACCAAGCTTCATACAGGGGACAAGCCCAGCCCAACACAGGTGTAACCCAAGCCCAACACAGGTGCAACCCAAGCCCAACACAGGTGCAACTTGAGCCCAGTGCAACCCAAGCCCAAGAAGAAGAGCAAAACAGAGAACCATGCCAAGCATACCCGAGTCCAGCAAGAAAGGACAAAAATAAAATGCATTTGTAGCTCTACTAAATTAGTAAAAGGAAACCAGTAAAGGAAACCAACAGATAAACCTTTGAGTCAAACCAATTCCTTGTTTCAAATTCAATTAAACCCCAACATATAGGCTAGAGAGAAGAACATAGCCTAGGCCAAAATCGAGCCCTCCAAATGGGGAAAACAGAGAGAAATTTCAGCCAGAATCCATCTCAAAAGAGTCGAAGCCGAACCCAACAAATGGGTTGAAACAAGACAAAAATTTCCAGTATACGTTCAGTCTCAAAAGAGCCAAACCGAACCCACCAAATGGGCTAAATGAAATGCAATTTCCAGCTAACATAAAGCCAAAACCGAGCCCTCCAAATGGGCTAAAAATAGAAAAAAATTTCCAATAAGGATTCAACTCCAAAAAGCCAACCGCATCCAATATATGGGCAAATCGAGCCTTCATAGGCACAAAACAGAAACGAGAATTTCAGCAAGGATCCAACTCCCAAAAGCCAAAACCGAGCCTTTCAAATGGACCAAAAACAGAGAATATTTCCAGCATTTGCTTTCAAATAGTGATAGGTAATATGAAATAGATAAGCCTGAATAGATATTTTTAAAGCCAGCATTTTCCAACATTTGTTTTGAACATGAGTAATAATAATAAATAGCTCTGATAATCCATTCTAACATGCATTTCTAGAGGGACAAGTTTCATTTCAAAACTACCTCTATGATATTTCCAAATATCTCAAGCAAGAAGACCAAAGACAGCCCATATTATGCTCTATTTTAATGTTTCCAGTGACTATTTCATGTTTAAGTTTCAAAACAAGCCCAAATTTTGCTTCCACATGTTTTAGAAAAGGAAATAAACATTTTTTTTATCCATCCTAAATAGTGCAGAATAGAGAAGAGAAGGATCATACCTCTTGGTGTAGATTCAATAGTAAACTCAAGAACCAACCTAAGGAAACAAAAATCAGCAAAAACATCCTTAAGCACCTTGATATAAAAGCCTAAATCTCCTGAAAAGACTAAGGAAATACGACAGCAAATGTTCACGCTCAAAGATGCCTCAAATCCTTTCTCTTCTTCTCAAAATGCTCATTGGATCAAGATTTTCTTATGCAAACCTAGGACAACTTCAAAACAAAGCCTGGAGAAAATCCAGCAGCACCTCCACCCTCTTTTTTTTTTAAATTTTCGGCCAACCCAAAAGACTTCGCCAATAAAACAAAGCCTGGAGAAAATCCAGCAGCACCTCCAACCTCTTTTTTTTTTTTAATTTTCGGCCAACCCCAAAGACTTCGCTTCGCCAATGTGGGGTTTTATAGGCAAAAGAGGAGAAGAGCAGCCACCTACCAGCCTCACTGATGAACGAATCAGGTAAAGGGAGAACAAAAAAAATGCATTTAAGGAGAAGGAAATGCAGCTTAGGGCAGAGGAAGAGTCAGCCAGGTGGAGTTTCACCCTTGGAGAGCCGTCGGTCGAGCGGAGCTCGAGGAGACGAGCAGCGTGCGCAAATGGCAGAGGAATACCGCGTGTGGGGAGCTCGCGATCGAGCCAAGAGGTGCAAACTAGGGTTCTGCTCGGGTGCGGCCGATCGTAAGAAAGGAAAAAGCGATTGGGCGGCTGGATTGAGCGGCTGGATCGAGCGAGGAGAAGAGTGCGGAAGTTAGGGCTTCGCTCGGGCTGAAGATGGAGTTGACCGGAGGCGGTGTGCGTGAGTTAGGGTCTGAGTGGGATTATAAATATTATCATATTAATAAAATAATTAATTTTTCAAAAATAAAATTTGATTCGTGCATTTTATTCGTGGTCGCAACATAACAAAATGGATATCCTTTTTACGTAATTTTGGCCTTTCCTACCAAAATGAGCATTCCGGACGCGTTGGCGCAGTCCATTTTGTCGTCGGAGGTCGTTTTGATGAATTCATCTATTTGCATGCAATTTTGCTCATGTCGGAAATTATAACAATATGGGTGTCTTTTCCTGTTAAAATTGGTCTCCCGAACGCGTTGGCGCGGTTCATTTTGTCGTCGGAGGTCGTACAGAGAAACTCACATTTTTACCCATCTTTTAGGCTTAATTTAAGTTCAATCTTGTGCAATTTAGTGAATTCTCTGCATTTGGTGAATGTGTGTGAAGATAAAGTCATGAAGTGATTTTCCTATGGCTTGAAATTCTATTGGGAACTTCTCCCTGAGTCTCCACACAATAGCCCTAAACTGCTCGTCCATAAGACGATGGTTTTAAAACCATAAATGTTAGACATCACAGGAAAATAGGAAGTGGTTGAAATAGGAAGTGACTGAAATTTCTAAAAAGGTAGGTTCCAATACTAGTTTTCTAAGATGGTCAATAGGAATTCCAAGAGCTAGATCTTAAGATCTTAAGAAAAAGAGTGATGACCTCAAAATGAGGTCAACACACCCACACAAATAAGAGAAAAATATAATTCTCAAGCATATTATCATGATAAATAAGAGAATTAGCATTGTATTTAATGCAGTAAAATTACGTAAATTTACCTCGTATCAGTTACTCTAATTGCTACAGTATCACGATCACTTTTATTACCTATTTAATCCCTTATCTTTTAATATTTACTTCTTATTCTAATTCCATTATATTTTATCCATTACCTATTATATATATATATATATATATATATATATATATGATTTTGCTTGCTTAGGATTAGCTTCTGATTAATTCCAAATCCCATATTGTTGTTAAGACAGTCGACGGCGTCTGTTCCCTCTTTGATAACTGTATCCGAGAGATTAGATGGTGCTCTGACTATATCTCTCTCCTGATGTGGTGATTATCTTCCTCATATTCCCTTCTGCATCCTCCACATCGCTCCCTGCCGCCATATCTCACTGCAGTCGCTAGCAACAACACTCGATTCATTGTTTTCAGCAATCCTTAACCTACCAGCCACCTCCCTCGCTTCCAGCATTGTTGCCGCCTAAACCACAGCTCTTTCATGCTGTCACAACCCTCCCACTGTGTCGTTGCCATTCAGGACCTCCTTCCTGCTGTCCTCGCTACTATACAACCCACCTCCTCGCTGCCATCACTCAGGACAACCTCCACACTTATTGTCCCTGCATTTTTGCACCTCCCCCTCACTGCCACCAGCAATATTTTGATGCTGCCAACCATCCCAATCCACCTAGCGGACCTCCACCACCCTTGGGATACATTTTAAGGGTTTTTTCTCTGTCGTTTTATGTTTGTTATCATTTATTTCTTGTTTGAAGAGTCGTCATTGTAATTCTATTTGAATTCAGTAATAATATTTTTATTTCTATTGCGGTTTAGGTTCACTCTGATATCAAAGATATTCTTCACACATCACTTCTCATTCTTACACCAAACAAGTTACTCTGTTCAAAACCAAACCTATTATCATACCCGCCAAAGTGATTTATAAAGATAAATCATAGTCTAGTCTCTTACATATGTTAGTTTTATGTCGTTTCGGAACTTTTATTTGTCACTTTTTAGTATCATGAGTTATTATGTTAAAAGAACCTTTAAGGCGTGTTTATTATTTATGTGATTCAACTATTAATATAAATAGTTGTCTTATCTCATTTGCGACAATTAAAAGGTGTAAAATCGATTTTTTCTTCTTTTCTCCTCAGGATCATGTGATGCCTTCCTATTTCTTGAGTGAATCGGAACCGGTGTGAGACAATCTAAAATCCTTTCTACAAGTATCGATCTCCCTTCCTATCTCAATCGAGCATCTTTATCTTCATCTCTATCCTATTTCCAGTCCTAACATCAACCCTAACATAGCAAACCATGATGGAAAAACTATTACTCTTTTTCCTTGTGAGCGATACAATTCACTTATCGAAATTTAAATGAATCTTCTAAATTTTTTAAGGACGAGCCACGCGGCATAACCTTTAGGTTATCTAACTATAGTTTTGGAACTTTTCAAATTTGGTACGCCAACATGATGCCCAAGAACAAATGAGTTAATACTCGTTAATACGAAGGTAACTATGGAGCAGGTGTTATAGGCTAGAACAAACTTAATATTCACAGATATACATAATATAGGAAAACGATGAAAAAAAATAAATTTTAAAAACATATGAATGAAAGCTAGCAAGTCATGAAAACTCTCAGGTATGTGATAAATTTCATTAATGCTTTAAGCAATGCACAATGAACCATCCTGGCCTGATACATTTACTCTTCATACCTCTTCCAAAGAAGCATTCCCTGCCCTTTCACCAATGCCATTCACAGTAACCTCTAGTTGTCGTGCTCCAGCACCAGCACCCTAGCAGAACATGTGAGGCCAAAGCTGAAATCGAACATAAAATCATATTGCAGAACAAGAAGATAGAGAAGGGGATATCATATTGTTACTTTTCATACAGCTAAAGTATTGGCTGTTGCAAGTCCCAAGTCATTTTGACAATGTGTTGAAATGACTGCATTTTCAATCCCACGAGTATTTGCTTTTATGTCAGAAATTAGTTGACCAAATTCATGAGGAATAGTATAGCCAACTGTATCAGGAATGTTCAACGTTGTAGCTCCAGCCTTAATTACTTCTTCAAGAATGTGATAAAGGAATTCACGATCAGACCTGTATATAAACATAGAAATTAAGAAGAAAACTGTAAATATCTTGTTGTTCAAATTAGTTTTAGCATAAAAAATAAGCGGAAGACCAAAATTGGCGAATAAAACGTTTGAAGATAAATGGATGCCAATTAATTGAATGATAGTTGTTGAAGGCATGCCCCTAAGTGAAAATCTGTAAACTTCATTCTGTAGTGCATTCTAAATCCTACAAACTTCTTAGTTTTATCCCAACATTTACATCCTCAAAGTCTGTAGTAATATCCTCTAATGCAAACATAAGATGACTAAGAACTTTCACAGAAGTTTTGCAAACACCTAATTTAGTTTGAAACCAATGTGAACCTTTTTCACCTCACTCATACTTTCCCCGCGTATGCAGCATTTGACATTTCATTGGATTTAGGAAATGATGGGCGCCTAAATGTGGTGTCAGCACAGACCATTATTATACCACAAGTCATATCATTTTACCACCAGTTTGAACGAGAGCTCCTAATCTATCTAAGTCGATACGCTGCCATAATTGCCTTGTGTCTTTGGAGTCCTTTTGACTAAATGCATGCAACACCATTCCTTCTGCTTTATACCAAATTGGCACTGACTGTAAAAACCGATCCATGAACTTGAATTCCCTTTCCCATGCAAGTATTTCAAGTTCTATAGGATTCCAATAACCTCATTTCATATCACAAGCATCTAAAACCAGGCGTCCAATCAGAAATAATGCACCGAAACATCTTTTTTGCAGGTGTATAAACCTGAAGTTAACAATAGCAGCCCTCAATCAAAAACTAACAACATCCAGGCATGTTACTTTCCATGTTATTCGATAAAACATAAGTTTACAGTAACCAGGACACCTTTAATGCTGCGATAGAGACTAGAAAACAAAATTTTAGAGGGTTCTAAGAAAAAAAAGTATGCCTCGGGGAATGTCAAGTAAGTTTCGGAATTTACATGAAAAAGCAGTAGAAAAATAACAGACATTTGACATTTCATTGGATTTAGGAAATGATGGGCACCTAAATTTGGTGTTGCATTGGATTTAGGAAATCCTTGGCTTTAACTAGAGAAATTAATGCAGAAAGAATAGAAAGAGCAATGCTATACACCCAACAAAACAAAGACATAAATTAAAATCATAAAGGTGGATAAATAAAAAACGAAGATGATACTAAACACTTTTAATTTTGTTGGTCCACCAAAATCTTAGGCATAAGGAACAAGAAATGGAGATTTTTTAGTATAGATTTATTTAGGGGGTATAGCTATCCTTAAAGAAAAGGCTATGAAAAAACAACAAGCAAGTGTCCAATCCCATATTCTTCTTAAATCTACATTAACCAAGGAGAAAATTGCTTCGAAAATGTACTAGCCCACTTGACAAAGAGAAAAGGAGAGAATGGTTAAAGAATAAAACAAAGGAAATTAAAAACTATTCAAGTCTCAGTGTGAAATTTATGGGCCATTGATTAAAAGAGAAAGTTATCACTCCAAAGTCATGGATACAAGTTATATACTTCGTGATTTAAGCTCACAATTCAAAAAAAAGGACATTATTCCCAGTGATGATCAAAGTGAAAAAGCTTAGATGAACCGAACTTGAGAAAATGTTCAAGTTCCCACCTTGATATAAAAATGCTCACAAAGTTTCCAAGAAGGATTTTAGAAAAAATAAGTTGCATTAAACAGTCAGAACTACACTTGTGGGTAAACAAACAAACTTTATTCACATAATATAAAATCCATAATTAAATAAAAATCCAATAGAAGTGTAAGAAAATTATCTGAAAGTAGAACAAACTAGGAGTATTTGCAGAAAATCTCCTAGAAGACAAATCAAATCAGGACTCCCTCAAAAGAAAAAAAGAAAATTAAAAATACAAGAATTTCTCATAAATAACATACAAGTTCTATATCAATAATGAGAAAGGTAATATTTTCCAGAAAAAGTAATGATCTGAGTGTCAACCTGTCGAAGAATTGTTCCTCAGTAGTTACAGAGCAAAATTGTAGCAAAAATTTGTCGTGTAATTTATACATACCAACAAAATCATCTTGTAATTAATTTATACCGTTATTTTATTTATGAATAGGAAAAAGGGGCCGTGACTAAAACCAAAATTGTTAGATTAATTTCTAGATGAATCCGATCATAAGTAATCAATCAAAATTTTAACTGAATTCATACAAAAGACTGTAAAAGACATTTCAATTAAATTTTACTTTAATATCCTCGCCCAACATTTTTCTTTTATGAATAACCGTCTAATAGCACTACTTTTTTGTTTAACGCGAAGTACTTCATTTAAATATTTTTTTACGCAAAACGGAATGCATCGAGGCCGTATAAAAAACTTTATCAATGGAGACCTTCCAGCATCCTCTGGGCTGAACTCAATGTCCTCGCACCCAAGCTTCCTCGCATATCCCACCATCTCCCTAGCAATCCTGACCACCTCCTCCCTCGTCTTCCTCAACTTATGCTGCATATGAATCTCACTCGTCGCAATAAAAGTATGCACCCTCGGTCTCCTGGCATGCCGCACAGCCTCCCAAGCAGCATCAATGTCCTTCATATTGCACCTTGCCAGACCACAGATCACCGGCAGGTGCACATCTTCCTCTGGATTGTTCCCTACCTCCATTGCAATGGAACGCACGGCCTCGAGATCATCAGGTGATGATGCCGGGAAGCCTGCCTCAATGATGTCGACGCCGAGGCGGGAGAGCAAGCGAGCAACGGCGATCTTCTCGCTGCTGGTCATGGTTGCGCCTGGAGATTGCTCTCCGTCGCGGAGGGTCGTGTCGAAGATGCGAACGTAGGCGGGGTCTGCGATAAGGTTGGGGATGTAATCTGGCCTTGAGTTGATGGAGCATCGCACGGCGAAGAAGCGGTGAGAGGGAGCACCGGCAGCAAGGCTAGGGTTCCAGCGGTGGCGGTGGAGAGGTAGAGAGCTTGGGTGGGATAAGAGAGGGTTGAGATTCGCCGGAGCGGCGTAAGAGATAGGACTAGGGTTTGAAGAACCGAAGTAAATTGCCTTCGTTAGCGCCATGAGAGGAAGGATGCTGAACTGTAGAGAGTCATAGACTGTTTAACCACCGAGCATTTTACAAACATACACATATTTTGCACATTCACACCAAAACTTTAGCTTTATTACACATTTCACTTAAATGTTTGATATCTCAATAAATATATCATGTTCTAATTTTAAAAAGTGAGCTATAATTTTTCATTCATTTATTTGATAGCATATATGTAAAAAATTAAAATGTACATATTAGATATATAAATACAAAAAAATTGAGCTATATGTCATAAATTTTCTATTATATTTTATTAAGTGATTTTATTAATAATTATTTCAGATATTTTAGGATTATTATCATTAGTTAGTCTGATCCTTATCTTCATCTCAGTCATAATCTTCCACGATTAATTTTATTTGGAAGATTTAATTTATAATTTAAAAGTTTAACATTAAATTTTCATTAAGAAATAAAAGTAATTCTTAGTCTGCAAAATCCAAAACAATATATCACCCAAATTCCAAAAGTGAAAAGTAACAATTTTTGGGTTTTGAGTTTCAAAAATTTTAAAAATATGAGCTCGAATGTACAACAGATAATTTAAAAATAAGATGAAAAAGTTTAATATGCTCAAATAAAATTAATAATAATTAAGGTCGTTTGGGATCACCTTTATTTTTTTTCTATTTTTTAATTATTTTTTTTTATTTTTAATTAAAATAAAACTTATTTGATATGTTATAAAATATTTGATTCTTTTTCAAAACATGTTTTGAGAGTTTTTTTTAAAACAAGTTATTTTAACTTTGAAAATGTAAAATAGAAACATGACAATATGCACTAAATAAATATATTTTTTAAATAAAATTAAAAAAAGAAGGTGATTCAAAAAAGACATAATCTCTTCAAAAGTTGTGTTTTATTATTCTAATAAGACTTAATTAAAACATGTATAATAAAGTTAAATGGGACAATAATGTTAGCTCAATGATAAGAAAAAATATAGACTAAAAAAATAAAACAAAATAATTATGTTGATACACCATCAACAAATTGCAATAAGATCATTGTCATTTATGGTTAATGTGTCGAGCGGATGCTCTAGCTATACGATCTATGACGGGTCTTAAATCCTTAATGGATTCTCTTTTCGACTCTGTTCTAATGCAGATTGATGTCGTCGAGCAAATGCTCTTGCTATACAAGCCTGGACGGATCTTACATCATTAACGGATTCTCTTTTCAACTATATTTCAATATTGGTTATCATCATTGAATATCTCCAGCTATACAACCTAGAATAGGTCTTCATTCATAACGGAATCTCATTTTGACTATGTTCTAATGCAAGTTAACATTGCCGAGCATCCCTGACTATATAGCTTATGTTAGGTTTTACACTCTTCGTTGATTACAAATGACTTCTTCCATGATAGGTTGTGGTCATTGAGGCTTGCTTAACTGAACAACTTAGGATCAGTCAACCATTCTCAACGATAGCCCAAAAATCGGGAGGCATCAGTTCAAATGTTGGGCTACAACATATTGTAACCACCCAAGAAACGGAGCAACTACTACTCAAAAGGAAAGATTAAAGCAACCTCATGAGCAACATCAAAATTTTTATTATATCAAGAAAAAAAACGTACAGATAAACACATTATCTACGTATATAAATGTCACATCAGATGACTAAAAAGCTACAACATCTAATACACATTGATACATAGGCTACAACAAGTTGACAAAAGAAAAGACATTGATCTGTTATAATGTCCTCCCCACCATCAAGAGGTCTACAACTTCATGTTCTCTTCTACAAGAGCCAATATCCTCACTTGAAAATCCTGCAAAGTCTAAGCTTTATGATTAATGACTTGTCATCTTCTTGTGTTTGCCTAGAAGGTGGACAATCTTTTGAAGCTTGATCTTCCATGCCTACGGAGAAAGTGCCAACTCATCTTTGGATGGTACTGACATCGCCTCCTCAAAATTTTAGTACTTCAATTGATTTTTCAGGGTGACGAGAATCTCCATATATCGACTTCTTAGTAACATAAAAAAAATGTTCTATAAAGCATTGTAGTGGTAGAGAGACAGGAAAATTCACTTGAAATGCATAACACAAAAACTTCAATTACCACGAAGAAGGCCCTAAAATATGCAGTGGGAAAATCCAACTTCTTTGAACAAAGAATCTCTTTTGGAATACGTTAGGAAAAACTTGTCCTCATGAAGAACACCATTCAGAATGAACGATGGGGAAATTCTAACTTTTCTCTGTGAAGAGTATCCTTCAGATTGTGAAGTGGGAAAACTTCAAATATTCTTCTAAAACAACATTTAATCATGAAGAATCCTCTTTGGAATGCACAAAAAGGAAACTCCAACTTTTCTTCACGAAGAATTCCCTCTGGAACGCATAGCTAGAAAACTCCAATTTTACTTCATGAATAATTCTCTATAGAATGCATGGCGAGGAAATTCCAATTTTTATCCAAAAGAAAAAAAAAAGAACCTAAAACATGCCAAAATTAATGCAAATGCTCCTCAACCCAAGAATTTTATCTCAACAGTCCAATTTGGGCTCCCACTGATTGCTCTCATAACCGCCATTAGGTTCGAATTCAAAACTCACGCCCTGGTTTGCATAATCATGCCCAAATCCCCTTAATCGTGCCGTTTTCACATAATTACACTGATGTCGTGTGAATTTATTAGATGAGGAACCTTCCTGTTATCGAATCCAATCACCGCAAATTTTTTACATTAAGCATTGAATCTGAGAAACAGATTCACTATGCCAACGTGCAGGGACTTGTGAACATACTCCATAAGCCAACAAAGCCTCATCGGCTAGACTAGCAGGACAATTGGCTCAGTGCTGTTGAGCCATTCCATATGCCCATCGCCCCAACCTTCACCACTCTGTTAGGCATCTGCAAAGGAAGTATTAATTTTTAGCTTCATAAACACCTCTAAAAATCTACAAAACTGTTGATTCAACTTGTGTTTTTGAAGCCTTTGAGAAAATGATGGAGGTGGTCTCTCTATGTCATTCTTAAGAGGTGAGGCAGGTCTCCCTAAGTTCTAAATTAGTTTTTTTTTTTTTGCGCTAGGCTTTTTGAACTAGGGGTTAACTTCAACTTCTTTAGGCTCCCTCCTAGTCACTTCCCCCAATTCTCTACCACTCCTCAATTTAATAGCCTTCACATGTTCATTAGCCTTCTTACTAAGGTTTACTTTAGTGTTGCTAGGCAAAGTGCCCTGAGGCCTATTACTAAAAGAGTTTGCTATTTGTCCTAGTTGGGTCTTAATATTTCTAATGGCTCGGCTTAACTCTGCAGTTTATTTCCCTTCTATAACACTATCTTTTCTAAAGACAGCTTTCTCTCCTTGAACAATAGGTTTGAGTTAAATCTTGGGGGGTAAATCTGTTTTGGGTTGTTGTTAATCTAGATATTCCAATTTCTTACAAAATTGTCTTATTATTACCCCACTGTTGGTTTCCTACCCTGGGGTTATCGCTGTTATAAATAAATTTTGGGTGACTCTTTCAACCTGGATTAAAAGTATTTGAGTTAATGTTGTTGAATTTATTTCATAATGCTATTTGTAGTCCCTACAGACAATGCACTAAGATCCATCAGTTGTCCAAAAGAATTTTCTTTTATGATTGGTAGACCTTACGGCTGACTTCGACCTAATTGATATAATTTCCTATAGACAACCACTACTTAAGAAGTCAATATAGATAGAACGTTTGTGTTGTGCACACAAGCTACCTTTCTAGGGTTCAAGTGATCTGAAGGTAAATATAGATAGAACGTTTGTGTCGTGCACATCAGATGAAAATACAACGTTAATGCACTTTTCTTCTTTTCAAACAGACAATATAAAGAAGTCATCAATAACAAGTAATCCAATCTCTCAATTCTCCCAAACACTCTATTTTCTTCTCTCCTAATCTCCTTTCCAAGTTCCTTGGAGTTCTCCTTCAGTGTTCTACTCTTCAAGTTGCAAAAAAAAATGAGAAAAATAAAAAACCCCCCCCCCCCTCCCCCGCCATTTCATTTTCATCATTTAAACATACTCTTCAGATGAAACGATGCATCCAATTGCTAAAACCGCCAATTTACACGTTCCAGAGCCTAAGCACTCATGATAGGCATTGTAAATCTTCATAAGTCGTAGCGCCTAGGCGCTAGTATCACGACATATAGGCGCTGCACTATAGTGTCTCAACGTTACAATTGTAGTGCCAAAATTCCACCCGCTAAAAAAAATGCTCCAAAAATCCTCCATTACTTGAACCTAGGCGCCCGAGATCAGTGCCAAGGTGCCCAAACTCCAGTGCCCCGGTGCCTATATAACGGCGCTGACTTTCTGATCGCTTGGTTTTGACTCATTTTTGGACTGGATCTAGCGTCTAGGCGCCAAAACTCTATTTTGCACCTTTTCATCATATTTCATATTCATGTTGCTCCCTTTACCTGATTCGTGCTATATGGAACTAAAAATCTTCCAGAAAGGATAATGTAAACATGCAAAAATGTAGAATTAAGATAATAACTAAGCACATTATATACACTTGTCATTACTTCGAAACATACAACAAAATTCCACAACATAGATCAAGATTCTACTAGGGAGTTTTGTAGCAACGAGACAGGGGCAACTGACTGTGGATGACAGTGGTTGGTGTGGTCGCCGGTGATAGGCAGTTGCAGGAGCAAGAAGTATTTGTCGGATATTCGGTGTAAGAATAATACAGCTATTCAACTCCTCCCTTTCCTTCTTCGAGCTTAGCTCTCAGTCCCCTCTCAAGAGGGGGGTATGGCTCTATTCATAGATTTTAAGAGAGGCCTGATGCACTGATCCCGATTTTTTTATATGTAAGGATTTATAAAGTTGATACCACTACAAAACCAAAAACTCGATCCTTATATGAAAAGTAAGTTATGTAAAAAATATATAATTATAGGCAATTAATAATGAGATTCTACGCAAGTATGTGTATCGTTATCAAGTGATAAATGAATTTCTATTTAAGCCCCA